TCCGATCAGTTCCAATTTGTGGATCGAATATGCGCTCTTCAGCGGCACCGCTCTCGCCTTCGAGGCGACAAATGAAACTCTCGCGCCACCCCCTCTCGAGATTTCCCGCACGTAAACAACACAACCGAGAGCAGACATACTCGAGTCGCAGAACACATGGAGTTCTCCCCCGATGACGTCTCGCGATGTTGTGTTTATATTCCGAGGCAGACGAAAGCTTTGCGCGCGTTCGAAACTGTTCTTCACGTCCGCAAACTGCTCTAAGTTGGATTCCGTCAGCTCTACATCCCAATCTATTTTCTGCTTCCATAGAGATTGCAGGAGTGATTTCGGCCTGATTGTAATGGGCGAAATAAAACCCAGTGGGTCGAATATCTGTGCCGTGCTTTTCAAGAGTGAACGTTTCGTAGGCCTGCTGGACTCGAGGGTCTCGAGGGCCGACGAAAGAGATATCGCTAATTCGTCTGATCGTAAGTTCCAGCCGACGCCAAGGAACTTTGCGTCTGTTTGGTCGAAAGAGACCTGGATGTCCGGATCGCTCATCGATTCCCGAATCCTGACGCCCAGCTCTGAACTATTGGTAGCCCATTTCCTAAGCCTGAAGCCACCCGCGCTGAACGCTTTAAACAAGAAGTCCGAATTTTCGAAGCCCGCGATTGCTGTTTTTTCTGAGAAAACGATATCGTCCATATAGAAGTTCTCGTCCACGTCCCTCAGAAATTCTGCTTTGCTCGGGTGCTCCTCCATGAGTTGTCGGATATGGAACTTGATTCCCGCGCAATGGATGAATGGGCTGGCGACAATGCCGAAATCCAGAACTGTGCTCCAAAATTCCTTAACTGGAGCCTGCGGATTCTCACTTATGCCTTGGGGCCAGAAGTATCGGAGGAACGTTCTGTGATCCGGATGGATCCGGTATTGAAGAAACGCCTTCTCGATATCGCACACGATAGCGATTTCGTCTCGCCGAAATCGGAGGAGGACCTGAATTACGTCTGGCAG